ACAATTGCTTGTCGTGGTCGAAAACGTTTTATTTCGCTGTTCGTCATGTTTCCGTTCATTGTCCGTTAAGACACTTCACAATAAGTTTCGTACACACTACAATTTTACACAAACGCCGACCGATCGACCGCGACGCGGCGGGCGCGCGCGCTCCGCAACCTCTCGCGAGGAACGGAGCTGAGCCGAACGCGACCGCACATCACAACACAACGGACATTGAGACACGTGTACGCGCGCACCGGCGCCGCCCGTCGCGCGATCGCTATGGACCGGGACGATGCGGAGCAAACACGCGCGACGCGTAAACGCGAACGTCGTTATTGTTGTCGATGTCGTTGCGTAAAGACTCGTACGCGCGCCCGCGCTACGGAGAGACACGGTACGGCGGTGAGAATTTATTTGTGCGACAAAATCATCGTATAGACGTGACTACGTTCAAAAGAAACATAATCGAACATATATTCGAACGGATCGCTCGGCGCTAGGTAGGCCTCGCGAAACCGTCAAAAGCACGCGCGACATAGAAGCGGCGCGACGACCGGAGTCGTCGCGGTCGCCGCTCGTCACGCGAACAGTGTGGCTTTTTGTTTTTATGCAGCCGGCCCTCAGACAGGAGTGGTCCTGGATATTTCTCCACGGACCGCAATGTGCGTTCGAAATGTCGATGTTCAAATGTGTCCTGCAGTTCACACTATGACGCGCAGTTAACTGCGTTCTTCATCGACCCGCGAGCCAAGTGATCCACCGTTCAGGGTAATCGTTTTGTTTTGTTTTTGGTATGAGAAAATATAAAAGGTGCGAAAAAATTAAAAAAAATAATAAAAACACCAAAACATTAATTCGACACAAAATCCTTCGATTGAGCGTCAAATAAACATCTTGTGTAATTATAATATGTCAATAGGCGAGAGGACGCTAACAAAAGCGTCCACACACATATTATCGCGAATCGACGAGAGAGAGAGAATCTCTCTCGGATTCGATTTTAATTGTGTATCATTCACGTGTTTTTTTTTTCGTTTTTTGCGTTGCCGCACAAAACAGAAAAACGTTAATGATCCTTCCGCAGGTTCCCCTACGGAAACCTTGTTACGACTTTTACTTCCTCTAAATGATCAAGTTTGGTCAACTTCCCAGCAACGCCGACGGCCGTGAGGCCACCGCGTGTCGGTCCGAAGACCTCACTAAATCATTCAATCGGTAGTAGCGACGGGCGGTGTGTACAAAGGGCAGGGACGTAATCAACGCGAGCTTATGACTCGCGCTTACTAGGAATTCCTCGTTTATGGGGGATAATTGCAAACCCCAATCCCCAGCACGAAGGAGTTTCAACGGGTTGCCCGGGCCTCTAGGCCAGGGAGAACATGTTGATTCCTTCAGTGTAGCGCGCGTGCGGCCCAGGACATCTAAGGGCATCACAGACCTGTTATTGCTCAATCTCGTGCGGCTCGAAGCCGCCGGTCCCTCTAAGAAGAATTTTAATACGTCGCCAGTGAGTTGCGCTCCCCGAGAGTCGCGCACACCTTGAATGACGACGCCTATTTAGCAGGCTAGAGTCTCGTTCGTTACCGGAATTAACCAGACAAATCGCTCCACCAACTAAGAACGGCCATGCACCACCACCCACCGAATCAAGAAAGAGCTGTTAATCTGTCAATCCTTCCGGTGTCCGGGCCTGGGGGTCTAGCCATATTGGTGTCGAAAAGTATTCTACATACACTACCGCTTTTGCGTAATTGTATTGTCGAAAACGCTTCGTTCGTAGCCAAGAGACATGTCGATACATTACCGCAAAGTCGACAGCGTAGATGCGAGCTGCTGTTCGTAGCACCTTATTCCGTCATATTGTCTCTGGATTAAATGTATTCCTAATGTCACTTTTATAAACAAATAAAAGTTAAAACTTTACAATATTATTGTAAATTTGCAATTGGAAGCTACAAAAGGGACATTAGAATGTCAGCAAGGTCGGAACAATTTTCGATTTAAGTGGAATTTACGGAAGGTGCAAAGTGAATATATGAATTTTAATTGCATGTTTAAATTAATTATGGTTTGTTTCATGTTTTCTCAGAAATTTAAGGCTACAAATAAATACAATATCTTGAAATTGCATAATCGCGATATATAATAATTAGTAGTACTCATACTTTGATATTTTTAGGATTTGACCTCACAACTAATCTACAAAATGAAGAAGCAACATTTTTGTTACCGCTTAGAAGAAACAATAGAAATAGTACTGTGGATTGATAAATAAAGAGTGAAAATAAGGTTGACTAGAAGTTGATAAAGTCCAAGGAATTAAAAACAATAGAAAAAAAACGTAGACTAGTGTGAACACTGAAATTAGAGTTTGATTTAAGCTTTAATTAGGTTTGGTGTTTGTGCTTGAACATTTTTAATGTCAATTTGAAAGCAGATTTATATATAAGTGTAGATTTTATTAGTGATTTGCTACTAGTTGGAATTATCTCTGTTTATGTCCAACAAACAATTTCAGTTTAAGTTAGAGTCATAAATGTTGATTGTTTATAATATATTTATACTTTTAGAAAGTGAGAATTGAAAAACAGCAAGTACTCAATGAAATGAAAAGAGGGATTAATAAAAATTATAAAATAGAAACTTAGTCTGGTATGAAATTATAACCCTTAATCAACCTTTGATTCCATATTGATGCTCCAACATCTTAGATATAATAGATATAAATTTAAGTTTGATGCTGATTTTAAGTTAATATTTATGTCAATTAACTTTTGGTTATATCAGTGATTTGCTACTAGTTAATATGTAAATGCAAAATCTGTTTAAGTAAGAAATGAATAAACATTGTATGTTATGTATTTGTCAGTTTTATTTTTGGTAATTTACCTATGTCTTCTTTAGTAGGAAAAGCCATTAAAGTGGTTCACAATATTAGTTTATTTTACAAGAATATACAGATAATGCATATATGAATGACCCATACCTACTAATAGTTAGGAATATTAAACAAACAGGTAGCAAAATAAAAATGTTTCAGTTATGGTTATTTTTTATTAAAATAAGGCACCAAATATCTTCCTTAACATAATGCAGTCTACATAGAAAAATAAGCATATGTAACAACTTATTAAACAATACAGACATTACTACTGAACACACGCAGGTGCACCAAATTAAATGCATTACTACCTAATGATGTATTCATATATGTAGATTAACTAATGTAAGTGTTAATTTGCAGCAATGTCAATATCTTGTTTGTGTGCTGTTATATACAAAAAAATTTTCAATTCATAAAACCTAACATTAGATGTTGTGATGTTTCATAAAATTACTATGATACCTACAGTTACTATGAATACATCCTGGGCGATTAAAAAAATAGTGATTGTTTCCTTAACACAACAATTGTAAATAATAATAGTTATTGTAAAGATATAATTCTTCCCAAAATCTACAAATGCAGTTTGTTTATAATAATATCTCATTAACATTCAAACTGCTGAACTTATTAAGATTAAATGTGGAAGAACATAGTTTCAGATACAGTTTCCTGTTCTTGAGGTAAAGTTACTTAACCAACCATTATTTCATACTCCACTTGTCTTATTTTTTACATTATTCATAAAATGCTTCGTTCCCCATTATCAAATTCATTTTCAGGTACATAATATAACACTTTAATTAATTAAAAGATAAGACTTTAATAAAACTTGTCCATTTGTGGTTTTTTTAATACTTTTAGTTGTCTTTTTCTGAAAATAAAATATTTTAGTTAGTACTTTGATCAATAGGTAACTTTAATATTAAAAGTCTTTACCTACTTAATTCTAAACTTAAAAATATACTTAATTTGTCACTTTGCTGCTTATTGTCAATTAAAGTTTTTAATAACCAAACAATGTCAGTAACTCCCAAAGGACTTGAATTAAAACTTCTCATTCATTAACAATATTATAATAACTTCTCTAGTATATTAACTTAGTAAATAATTAAAGAAAATATCTGCTTACCATTAAGTACTTAGTATTGCTCACTATATTTTATATTTCCAAAGTTCATGAAGTAAAAATCCACTTTATTTGATTAATTTAAATCAATATTATATCATTAGCTTCTATTATAATTACAATATAATATATTTAGAACTTCTAATAATGTTCATTAGTGACTGCTTTCTCATCTGAAATATACAAATAATATGTACAACCATTTTACTTTGTGATTACATAATATAAGCAATATTAAATGGTATATGTATTTTTCAAATTAAAGAAAAATTTCATGAACTAACATGCAATATAAATATCAATAAAAGATATCCAATATAACTAGGATTTACCTCTACTAATTTGCTGATTTTCTTGGTATTTTCATATTTATCTGTGTCTATGAATCAATGCGAGGATAACAATCCTCGCATTGATTCATAGAAAAACTAAAACTCTTAACTTAAAAATATTTACTCTAGTTTAAATTATTATAATTACACGAGAACGTTAAAAAAAGACAGATAACAAATTAAAACCATTTCGTTAAAATGTCCAAAATATGACATGTTTTTAAAACGGTAGCCATTAAAGATGGCGATAGTTGTACTGAATTATTGCAAACAGCAGCTTTTGAGATCACGCTAAAACATGGCGGAGAAACGCCGTTTTTTCTACACTGCCGAAACATTAATTGGCCGTTGGCTACCGAATAGCGTAAGCGTTAATGTGTGTCTTTTCGTAGCACTGTCATGGCGTCGCTTATTGTATCCCGACTCACGCCTTTAGGGCCTAGGCTACCGACTGTCGACACGAGCTGTCATTTTCATACAAATTTAGTTTTCGACTTTCTACATACACTACTGTTAAGCCATCTTGGCTAGACCCCCTGATGAGATTTCCCGTGTTGAGTCAAATTAAGCCGCAGGCTCCACTCCTGGTGGTGCCCTTCCGTCAATTCCTTTAAGTTTCAGCTTTGCAACCATACTCCCCCCGGAGTCCAAAATCTTTGGTTTCCCGGAAGCTGCCCGCCGAGCCATTGTAGTAACGTCGGCGGATCGCTAGATGACATATTTACGGTTAGAACTAGGGCGGTATCTAATCGCCTTCGAACCTCTAACTTTCGTTCTTGATTGATGAAAACACCTTTGGCAAATGCTTTCGCTGATGTTCGTCTTGCGACGATCCAAGAATTTCACCTCTAACGTCGCAATACGAATGCCCCCAGTTATCCCTATTAATCATTACCTCGGAGTTCTGAAAACCAACAAAATAGAACCGAGATCATATTCTATTATTCCATGCACGAAATATTCAAGCGGCATTTTGAGCCCGCTTTGAGCACTCTAATTTGTTCAAAGTAAAATTGTCGGCCCACCTCGACACTCACCGAAGAGCACCGCGATAGGATTTTGATATTGAACCGGCGTTTTACCGCCGGCTCACCGACGATATGCTCCGCAGACGTGTCAGTATCACCGCGGATGCGGTGCACCGACAGCGCGGCGCACAAATGCAACTACGAGCTTTTTAACCGCAACAATTTTAGTATACGCTATTGGAGCTGGAATTACCGCGGCTGCTGGCACCAGACTTGCCCTCCAATTGTTCCTCGTTAAAATATTTAAAGTGTACTCATTCCGATTACGAGGCCTCGTAAGAGTCCCGTATCGTTATTTTTCGTCACTACCTCCCCGTGCCGGGAGTGGGTAATTTGCGCGCCTGCTGCCTTCCTTGGATGTGGTAGCCGTTTCTCAGGCTCCCTCTCCGGAATCGAACCCTGATTCCCCGTTACCCGTGACAACCATGGTAGTCGCAGAAACTACCATCGAAAGTTGATAAGGCAGACATTTGAAAGATGCGTCGCCGGTACTGGACCGTGCGATCGGCAAAAGTTATCCAGATTCATCAAAATTAACGACTTCGGACGCTAGGCCCTCCGCCGATTGGTTTTGATCTAATAAAAGCACTCATCCCATCACTGGTCAGAGTTCTGATTGCATGTATTAGCTCTAGAATTACCACAGTTATCCAAGTAACTGAGTAAGATCTAAGGAACCAAAACTGATATATTGAGCCATTCGCGGTATCGCCTTAATACGGCTTGCACTGAGACATGCATGGCTTAATCTTTGAGACAAGCATATAACTACTGGCAGGATCAACCAGGGAGCTGCTTACGCAAACGACTCGCCTACACCGCGAGACGCGGCTTCGGCGGGCCGTAGCTCGGCGGCGTCGAGACGCGCTCGCGCGCGTTACTCGACACGCGTGAACGTAACGCGTCGAATTTGCAAACGACGCGACGTTCGCGCTTTAATTCGATAGACAGACTCTGACCGGTCTACGAGCGGCCGTCCCATCACGATCTCGCAACGAGGTGATGTACAACGATGCTCGACCACTGTGAGGGACATAAAACTGCATCAAACACGACCGCGATCTCTCGCGTATCGATATTGTGACAGTTTGAAAATTGAACATTCATCTAAACGCAACTTCTCAATTTTTATTTAATACGTTATTTTAACATATTAAAACTCGGCTGGCATTACGCACTAGATACGATCAACGCCCGGAGCTTGAGGGACAAATTCCAACACGACGCTGCGCACACCGTTTCGACGATGGGCGCGTATGCGTCCTCTTTTATACATTTTTCCATATACGGTCGCCGTAGCGTACCGCGCACGTGTCGAACACGCTCGGCGCCCTGCGTTGAGGTGTGCCCTTGAAGCGTATTCTTTTACAATCACAGATAACACCGGCGAGACAGTCGCAAATCTTGAGCGATTTTTGCTAATGTCACGATCCGGTCTGCGAACGCGGTGAATATAATACAATGTTACTTGTAATTATATATATTATTAGTAGCGATGATGCGAGATTAGTACAAGAGAATATAACTCACAATCGAAACTCTATTCGTTACGCGTCTGTGCGTTTTGTATAAATTAATATTTTATAATACTATATAAATACACAACACACAAGCAAAACCAACAAAAATCCGATGTGACGATATTTCTCTCTCGACACAATTCCCACATCAACGTGAACCGGCCGGCGCAGTGCGCTCGACGGTTTCGCTCCACATATATACCGAGAGCAATAGTCCACGTCGGCATTGGAACGGGCGCGGCGCGCGACCGCCGAATGTTTCTCGTAGAGCGTTGAGAGTCGGTTTTAATTTTATGATTGATGTGTACATTAATATGTAATGTAAATAAATAAATTGATTAATGTGTGTGCAGTTTCTTTTAATTATTATTTTAATTATTATATAATATTGTTTATATTTTTTTTTATTATATTTTTTTTTATAGATATTAGTTGGTGAACTACATTCATTGGTGGGATATTTATTAGCGATATAAAAGCGATATAAAATAATATTAATTAAATAAATGAAATGAAATGAAATTATAAATAATAATATATACTTAGTTACGTACGTACACACATAGCACCGGTCGGGTTTCTAGTACAACGTGCGCGCGGGCGCACCGGAGGCCGTCGTCGGTCGTTAGAGTCGCTGAGCGCATTAATGTTTCTAGTAGAGCGTTGAGAGTCAGTTTTCATTTTAAGATTGATGTGTACATTAATATGTAATGTAAATAAATAAATTATTGAATGTGTGTGCAGTTTCTTTTAATTATTATTTTAATTATTATATAATATTGTATACATATTTTTTTTTATTATTATTACTGACAGACACGAAAAGAATGCACATGTTGGTTTAAATTCACTTTTGGCTATTATTCACCAACAATATTGGATTTTGTCAGCCAGGAGGGCTATTCGAAATGTTATTTTTAAGTGTATTCCTTGTTATCGACTTAAAGCATCTTTGACTCAACCTCAAATGGGAGATTTGCCTCCAGATCGGATTACCGCTGCTAGACCTTTCTCAGGTGTAGGCACCGATTTTGCTGGACCATTTTCCATCAAGGTTTCATCAATACGAAACGCCAAGATCGCAAAAGGGTACCTCTGTGTTTTTGTCTGCCTTGTTACAAAATCTGTACACCTGGAGGTGGTGTCATCACTCAGTACTGAAGCTTTTATTGCTTGTTTGTCTCGTTTTGTCAGTCGTCGAGGGTTACCAAGTTTGATTAGGTCCGACTGCGGGACAAATTTTAAGGGAAGCGAACGTTACCTTGGGGAAGTTAATAACTTTTTGACTGAAAACCAAGTGCCTATTGAAAATTCACTTTCTCGTCGTGGTATTAAATGGAAATTTAGTCCAGCAGGCTATCCATCTTGGGGTGGAATATTTGAGGCTGTAGTTAAGGTGGCAAAAACTCATCTTCGACGAATTATAGGGGAATCAATTCTTACATTCGAAGAATTAGCAACGGTATTTTGTAACATTGAAGCTGTAATGAACTCCCGCCCACTTTGCCCTATATCGTCGGACCCTAATGACCTAGAAGTTTTAACTCCTGGCCTGCGATTCTGTAACTCACTTTTCGAACTCACACGCGGTTTTCGCATCGGCGGTCGCTCTCAAATCAGTCGTGAAGCAGTTATTTTATGATTTGGCATTCTGAAAAGGTGGGAGCTTGTAGTTTATTGTTTATTAGAATGCCATATCATGAAATGACTGCTTCACGACTGATTTCAGAGCGACCACCGATGCGAAAACCGCTGTGTGAGTTCGAAAAGTGAGTTACAGAATCGCAGGGCAGGACATTTTTTGATTGGGGGTCCTCTCAATGCGTTACCTGAATATCCATGTTTGGACATACCAATAAATCGGCTTTCACGTTTCGAACTGCTACAACAACTATCTCAAAGTTTTTGGAAACGTTTTAATTTAGAATATCTCCATTTATTGCAGCAGCGGGTTCGTTGGATAGACAAAACGGATCCGCCTAGGGTTGGGGACTTGGTCCTTATCAATGAACCAAATATGCCACCATTATCTTGGAGACGTGGTCGCATTATTAAACTATTCCCGGGAGCGGATGGTACCCCGCGAGTCGCCGAGGTCCGCGTTGGGGAATCGGTTTTAAAAAGAGCCGTGGCGGGCTTGTCACGTCTCCCAGTGGCATAAACTTTGTTCCCAGCCTCCGGTTTTGGACTCAGTCATGTTGCGCCTGACTGGGACGGGGGACTGTTCGAAATACATTATATTAATTTTATTAAATTTGATGAGGGTGATGCCAAATATTTTTACACGGCCGATCGACACATTTTTTTTGTTAGTCGTTGTTGAGCTTGTCGGGTTACGTGTTCTCGTGCGTCTAGCATTTTTTATTTGGATATATACTTTTTGTTAAATATAGATGATTATAGACACGTCCACTATTTAAAATTGTATAGTGAGTGTTTAGTGCGTGTTTGAGAACTATTGAGGCAAGGTATCAATAATTATCATCAGTCTAACCTCTTTTTTGTGCCCATACTAACACTAATCCAAATCCTTACGGCTGATATTATTGTGTGCCTATTTTCCTGTGAGGAGACATTGACGCGGTATGTACTCAGGACTTATTATTTTAATATGAATTGTGTATCGACGGCCACCGAACCGTTCTTTGTGGTACATGAAGCGATCCTCAACTCCCGACCCCTTACTCCTTTAACATCTGACCCAAACGACCTTTCTCCTCTCACCCCAGGGCACTTCATCATCGGACGGCCGCTGACGTCACTGCCATCACCTCCGGTATCCAACTTGAAGACACGCATCCGCTGTCGATACCGAATGATCGAGGGACTGCGCCAACACTTCTGGGCACGGTGGAGAAACGAATACCTACTAGAACTCCAACAGCGATACAAAGGACGCCATCATGAGCGAAATCTTCAAGAAGGAGACCTCGTCGTCTTCAAGGAAGATGGTCTCCCTCCTCTCAAATGAAGCTCTTAACATGGGCTCTGACAACGTCTGCAGGGTGGCCGACTTCACGACGTTCCGAGGAATTGAACGACGAGCCGTAAACAAGGTCTGCCTACTACCACTTGAAAATGACATCTTCACAGAAGAGGAGAACAAGGATCTTGAAAGTTGATCTTTCAAGGCCGCCGAAGATGTTCACGCGCACAACTACGCGCTCATCCCTAGCATGAGGGAACGGCGATTGTCTATGGACCGTGTCCCATCCCTAAGAAGCCCGGCGGGAAGCGGGCGGACGCGAGGGAAGGGACCGAGCAGCAGTGCACGCGCCGGACGCGTCACTAGCCACCACCGCACGCTACTGAGCACACGCGCTCTTACCTCGATAATTTCTAACCTTGTTACTTTATCCAACTTAGTTTAAATGTTTCGTATTTGGAGTATAATTATTAAAAGAACCTAACATGTAAAAATCGTTTTGTTTAAATGAATCACAAACACTTTGATTATGGATTATTGTGTGAAAAGAGAAAGTACCCTCCATAATTGCCAATTTTTTTTCATTAGTTCCAAAAGTATTCCCTTTAAAAAATGTTGTCAGTTTGGAAGTTGACGCTGCTGTGTGATGAGACGTTTAATGTACTTTAGTTTCAATGTGTGCCGTTATTGCACTACGTCCATGAATTGCAATTGAAAATTCCCTATTGCAGATTGTGCATTTAACCAAGGACTCATCATTTTGATTTTTAACAACAATGAACGGAAACTCTTTTTTTAAATTTTCGTTTAAACGATTTTTCCTCCTTTTGTAATCGCTCATATTTGAATTAATAATCTAAAAATTATATTAGAAATATATTTTTGATTTTGATTTTAAATAAATATTATAATCTGATATTTTTTAAGTAAAATGAAAATAAAACTAGGTATAATATTAATACTTACATGCAACTTCCCCTTCACTAGATAAATAAAATTTTATTTTATTTTGTACACCTCAAATCTTGTTAACTTGAACAAAAAGTACGAAATTGTTGGTTTTCTCTTTGCCGTACAGACTGCACATCAAAGATCACTGATCAGCCTGGGGATTATGTACTCAAATATTGGAGAGATAGATATATCCATCTCTTGTCACAAATGTAATTTTGACGTTAGAAAAAGAGGTTTGTAGTATTTATCTATCTCTCCAGATACATAATACGGCCTCTCAATTGTGCCGGAAACGGCAGCCATATGTGCGCGCGAAATTCAAATCAATGTCAACCTCGTGTCTGGTGTTTGCCCTGTCCTCTGACGTGCCGGAAACGGCAAGCAATATGCGCGCGTGAAATTCAAATCACTGTTAAAATAATATTTAATTAATAAAATTGAAATAATATAATCTACAAAATGTTTTAGAAATACGAGTACAAATGAGTATAGAATTATACAAATGAGTACTTTCAGAGTACAGGTTTTGAAAAGAGTACGGTTTGCGAAAAAAAGAGTACAAAACTCAGTAAATGAGTACAGTTGGTCACCTTATTAAAATTGAATACTTAAATCAATACTAATCAATAACATTATCAATAAATCAATACAATTGAGGTTAACTATCCGTATGTATTATTATTATCGAGTAATGTTTTGATTAAAAAATTAACCACATTGTTTAATCAAAACATGTAATTTTTCAGATTTAATCTAGCAAATATAAGGACAAGAGACAAAAAACAATTGAAGAATCAGTGGAAGTGCACTAAATTGAATACAAAAAAAAGAGTTGTCATCTTATCGCTGTGAAACATCAAAAACTGGAGGTGGAACAAAGCCACCATCACCTTCTCCAGACACAATGGACGTGGCAGAGATGATACCGCAACAGTTTGAAGTCGATTTCAATGAATTTGATTGTGAAGGTGTCGAGGTAGGAATGTTAATTATAAATATGATGTATGGTGATGTTTAAGGTTGCACCTCTCAAGCATAAGCATATGCTCACAACAGTACTTTATTCCCCTACATAGATATTCTAATACATCAGAACATCCATGTTGCACTTGTAGTACCGAAACTCTGTCCAGCCAGAAGTGAGCTCATTCCCACTTATAATGGACAGTGGGTATAATACACCTTAACACCTGAATGCGAACCACTCAACATGATACTTAAATTAATAGACGTTATTTATATATTTTAGGATATTACAAATGAAATCATTTTGGAAACAATTGATATCCCAAAAGCAAATAAAGCGAACAATGATAAGGTAATAAATCAGTTTTGACATAACTTGAATACTAGAAAAGCCAGACAAAGGTGTGCACAACAGTGACAACATAACTTAACAATTTCATTATTTTGTAGGATTATAATCCAAAGGTTAAAGAAAATCATGTCGAACTGAACAACAAGAATTCCCAAACAACTCCAAAGAAACCTACAAGGATGACACCGGTATTATATTTAAATTATCTCTATCTCTAAATCGAATAAAAGAAAGTTGCTATTGAGGTCTGTAGCATGTGCAATTAGTTTTTCTAAACTACACAACGGATTTTGATCTAACTAATATATAGATTGTTCTTCCAGGAAGGATTTGTATAATATGAATTATAATTTTTTTAAGTTTTGCATGGACAGAGCTTAAATTGATATTCTCTTATTTGTTGCAGAAAGCAAGTAGTTTTAGTTTTGCAGAAGCCTCGTATCAAGATATGCTATAGCTTTCGGACTCTAGAAAATGAGCGGCTTCAAATAGAACACAAACATAGAGTTAAGAATATGGCAAAGATATACAATCAAGTAATGATTAATTTAAAATTACAGACCGAAATACATACAATAAAAATATTTTAAAGATAAATAGTGATTTAATTGTTTCAATAACTTAATTGTTAAAACAACCTAAATTAAGAACTATCAAACTTAAAAGTTTTCATCAATAAAAATGGCTCTCACTGCTGCTCCACGCAGTGTTTGTAGTGAGGGCAGGGTCTCTTCATCATCATCAGAGATAGGTTCCTCTTTTAAATCAATGGCTATATTGTGCAATACTGCCAAAGCTACAACATACATCTTAGTGTTAGAGATTATCTTAGATCTTAGGGGTAGAGATGTTCTAAATATATACTTTCAACTTAATAGAATTTATGTTACACTTAATGTAAGAGAATAATAATAAATATTTATTTATTTAATTTTTCAAATGTAAACTGAACTTTATTGACTTTAATGACTCCTTTTCCAGTTTTTGATTATTTAATTGTAATTAATTATTTGCATGCAATCAAAAACTATTTTTAATAATGCCAAAGAAGAATAACTTCTTACGCGCGTACATAAGTACACGCACCCTTTTTTTTTTATTATTATTATTCTCTTACATTAAACAAATAAAACACTATTTATCTTTAAAACATTTTTATTTCATTATACTATTTATTTTTAAGTGACTCTAATGTCTTCATCAGAATTTCGGTTTGTAATTTTAAATTAATCATTACTTGGTTGTGCATCTACGAGGCTTCTCCAAAACTAAACTTGCTTTCTGCAACAAATAAGAGAATATTAATTTAAGCTCTGTCCATGCAAAACTTAATTTTTTTTTATAATTCATATTATAAAATTTTTAACACATTTATATAATTATATTAATATAATTTTTAGCACATGCTACAGACCTGGATAGCAACTTTCTTTTATTCTATTTAGATTCTTCCTTGTAGGTTTCTTTGGAGTTGTTTGGGGATTCTTGTTGTTCAGTTCGACATGATTTTCTTTAACCTTTCTTTAATCCTACAAAATAATGAAATTGTTAAGTTATGTTGTCACTGTTGTGCACACCTTTGTCTGGCTTTTTTAGTATTCAAGTTATGTCAAAACTGATTTATTACCTTGTCATTGTTGGCTTTATTTGCTTTTGGGATATCAATTGTTTCCAAAATGATTTTATTTGTAATATCCTGAAATATATAAATAACATCTATTAATTTAAGTATCATGGTGAGTGGTTCGCACTCAGGTATTAAGGTGTATTATACCCACTGTCCATTATAAGTGGGAATGGGCTCACTTCTGGCTGGACAGAGTTTCGGTACTACAAGTGCAACATGGATGTTTTGAGGTATTACAATATCTCTAACTACCCTGTAGGGGAATAAAGTACTGTTGTGAGCATATGCCTATGCTTGAAAGGTTGAACCTTGAACATCACCATACATCATATTTATAATTAACATTCCTACCTCGACACCATCACAATCAAATTCATTGAAATCTACTTCAAACCGTTGCGGTATCATCTCTGACATAACCATTGTGTCTGGAGAAGGTGATGGTGGCTTTGTTCCACCTCCAGTTTTTTATGTTTCACGGCGATAAGATGACAACTCTTTTTTTTGTATTCAATTTAGTGCACTTCCACTGATTCATCAATTGTTTTATGTCTCTTGTCCTAATATTTGCTAGATTAAATCTGAAAAATTACATGTTTTGATTAAATAATGTGGTCATTTTTTTGAGATGCAGGTACTTATTAAAATGTTTACTTCTCTGTTATATCGCTCCAAGCCTTCATTTTCTCCTTATTAGTATTCGTGCTTAAATCTTTGTTCTCAATTATTGATATATATTATAGGGTCGTAGAATATTTCTAAAAAGTTGCTGTAACAAACGCAATAAACAAAAGCAATGAATAATGGTTCATGTTTTAGTTTTAATCAACAATAATACTCGATAATACATACGGATAGTTAACCTCAATTGTATTGAAGCACTCAGGAAGGTTGGCACAGTTTTTTCACAAATATTTTATCATATTAATTAGTATTGATTTAGATATTCAATTTAAATCACTTCTGATTATAATTCAGACGCACATATAAAATTCGCACTTGTATAATGAAAATAACTAGGTATATAATCTTTTATTTTAAACAATAATTAAAACTCCTATATTTGTTTAAAAGGTAAATGTCATTGTCAGATGTCATGGTCATTCAAAATTATTGTTAAGCTGCTAAGCTAAGAAATAGCGTTGCGTTTTCCAATTACAGCACTAAAGAGCATTATGCGGCATAATGCTCAACATTGAATGTTCCAACTACAGCAACGCTTCGCACAATTGAGCACTCTCAAAAGTAATGCTCTCGCGTGCTTCTCGCAATCAAAACCAACACAGTGACAGAAAAT